GTTTTTAGCTAAAAAAACCCGTCCTAAAACAATTTGGAAGACTTTTGAATTTTAGAGCACTTATTCATTGAAGCAAAGTGCTAAAAAACTTAGTGAATCATTTTTAAGTTAAAGAGTTGCTTTCTGTATCAAATATAACTGCATGATAATTTTGGAGTTTACTTATTAATACAACAGTAGCACAGCATCGTCTGTATCAAACTCAAAATCATCAAAATACACACAACATTTCAAGCAGGTGCGCATACATACGTTCTTATATAAAGGAGATGTTTAGAAGTTTCCTTCAACCACTTTGCCTGCAACATACTGTATTTTAGTTATTGCAGCGAATACGCAGCATCCTGAAATTTGTTTAGAAAGAGAAACTCTAATTCCTGGCGGCGAAAAAGGGAATTTTTTACACCGGTGGCACTCGTAAAGTATAGTGATTCATATAAGTTTAACATTTTATGTTTAATGGTAATATCCCTAAAACTGACACAAAGATATGAAATGAATGGGGGAGATGCAAGAATGATATCAGCAAGCCACATCACAGAAATCAACACCGTTTATTAAGATCTTTTTTCGGACACTATACAACAAATTCTCCATTCTGATTTCTTGTGTTTCCGTCCTTGTCTGTCCATACGATAGAGTGTTTCCTAAGCAGTCCTTTTTCTGTGATGTGACTAAACGCTAATCTGATTCGGCTCATTTCTTCCATCGACTGAAACATACGTGCTATTTTTTTAACGCATTTAGAAAGTAAAAGTGGTAAATATTCAACTCAATTCATACCAATCGGTGAAAAAGGCAGAGGGTGGGGTCCTCGTCATCTGCATACGGGCAGTCTTGTGTGCCGTCACACAATTGCCCTGTTTGTACACAAAACACTGCTTCGTGAGGAAAATGTCGAGAGCATGCCGTGAACTCTGGTCCAAGCCTTCTACAGTCTAGAAATGTTCGTGTTATATTGGTTGGCTGTTCGCAAATCGCTCATTTTCGCGTTTTTACTGGTTTTACGCTAAATTTGATGTAAAATGGTAAGGTAAATGACGGTCTACTTATACAGCATAGTTGTCTGGTTCCGAAAGTATTCTAGACAAATTCATCCTATAGTCGCGAAACTTACGTTGCGGCCATTTGACGTTCCGCGAGAGATGTCCCATAGATGTAGTTCTTGGATTGTGATATTCTTTGGCCATTTTCCCTGACAATCGACCTGTATCCTTCTCATCTGTGTTCTGAATGGTGTGAATCGTAGTTCTGCGAGGAATCTATTGCAAAAAAACCATCTCAACCTCAACTGATGTCAATTTTACCATATCACTAGTATTATCGTCCATTCCATAGATCAACGT